AAAAAAAAACACTCACCCAACCGGAAGAAACAATGAGATGAATTTCTGGAGCATTTGTCGAAAACATTGGATTCAAGTGGCTTTGAAAATAGGATTCGGAGAAAACCTATGCGCAAGTGTTGACACTTGTTTGATCACTTTAAGCTGAACTTAAAGCCAACGGGTTTGATTCCCTTGGAATTATTTCCAGGAATAAATTTCGGAAAGAAACAGGCGGAATTCAAACATAGATTTTATTTAAAATTCTCGTTGGTTTAATTTTTCCAAGAACCTGAAACTCCACTAAATGACCACTTGCAGAAGAAAAATTGTTTGACAACAGCTACTGTATTATACCTGTTAAAAAGAATTTTTCAATAAAGTTTTTGAAAATCTTATCTCTTGGGGAACCGCACATAACACTTGATGAGCTTATCAAGGAAATGAATCTAATGACTGTAATTTCATCCAAGGGAATGGATCAACCAGGAAAACTCAAATATTTGGTAAAGAAAAACCTAAGGACACAAGTTAATAAAACACCTTCCTTTCGGAAAAATTTGTTCAGATTTTTTCATTTGTTTTCTGTTCACAGCGTGAAATTCTTTGTGTGAGACATGTGATTATTTGTAGAAGAGCTCTGCTGAGTTGTTGTACATTTTTAACACTTTCTAATCATATCCTATTAATGTTGGGATTTTTTGAAATTAAAATTAAACTTTCTTAATTTAGGATTTTCAGCCTGGTTCCAGGCTGAACACATATTTTATTCAAAATTTGCTTTTGTTTTACTTGATCCAAACGGTATTTCCTCATAAAAAAAATTTTGTGGTAAGATATTTCTCAACAGTAAGTTCATGGGATTTCACACTTATTTTGCATTCAGAATATTTATGGATTGGTGCTGGTACTGCTGGGCATGAAAATACTAATAACAGTAATAATATGGTGTTTCTTTGGAATTTCTTTTAGTGTAAGGAAGGTAAAATTGACGTCTCGAAATTGGAATTTTGGCTTAAATTTGCCAAAGGTCAAACTTAAAAATTATATCTAAAATTTGACTTGAAAAAAAAACTGCTTATTTTCAGTGTCCAAGATCCAAACCCCCTAAAAAAGTGATCCAATTAGAAAGTCTTTTGATCTCAGAAATTATTTTTACAACTATTCCAAACATAAACCTTACACAAAAAAGAAACTCAGTGAGTAAAAACATGGAAAAAATTATATTTCAATTGAAAATATTCCTTCAAAATTATAAATTATTTTGTCCCAATCCTTTTCACAATGTGGGGTTTTTGGATGACCATCACAAAACTCACTTAGATATTCATAAAAATAATTTACACTCAAGTTACAGGCATGCAGAATCCGTAATTCTCTTGAGATATTTCTTTTTAAAGTTTCACGTTTTCAAGAAGAACTCTTCACAAAAATAACTCACTCTCAAGAAAAATATTAACTGAAACAAGTTGACTTTTATAATACTGTATTCCTGGAAGGCATGATTTGTTCCCGAACTTTTCTCATGACCGCCTTTCGGCACGTTCTCAAACACACCTCATCACGGCCACAGCATTGTCTATATCGGATGTACGGAAATATTCCAAGGATGCAGAAATAATTGATGCACAAGGATACGGAAGAAGTGCTAAATTTAGCACAATGCACAACCTGTTGCTGAGCCAGCGGTTGAAAAGGGTCTCTTCAGGCCATGACATCATTCTTTTCTAGATTCAGAATATGCCCAGTGTACGTATTTTCTCAAGCTGAAGGCTAGTGCTGCACAGGTCTTTATTGGACGTACGATTATAGAAGAGAGTGCTTCGAAAAAAAACAACAACACGCATAAGTTATAGTCTGTCTCTAAGAGAAGCTAATCATGGATATATAACGTGTATTCTGATTTCCGGCTGATTATCGATAACAAAATCGAATTGAATGATAAAAATCCTCGGGATTCTGAGAAAGAAGCAGCGTTTCCCGGAAATTAAATAACAGGAAGGTCAGATGAGAGGCGGGAAAAATGCACAGAGAATTTTTTCCTTTTCCAACGAGAAGATGGCAGCAGAAAATCGATAAATATTCATGCTGGTGGTTCAACATTGAGACCATATCCGTGGAAATCCTGCAGGTGAGACCACCTGAGGAAAGAGATTAAAGTATGCTGGTAAAATTATCTTTCCTAAGTAGTCCATTTTTTTGTTTCCATGATGAGCCTTGAAATAAATGACAACAGTTAGTGACATCTACTCAGATTAAATCCAACTTCGAATCAGCGCCTTTGGAAGTTTCCACAAGGTGACTTTAAGAGTGAGAAAAATTAAACCAACTCAAAGTAAACAAAGAAAAACAGGCAATATTAGGAAAATATTTTAAAGCGTTTGATGAAAATTCCGTCCAAACTACGGATTCAGTTTTCCAGCATATTTTTGATTAATTATTTCATACTTGAATGACTTTTTATTCAAGAATAATTATTTCCCAAAATTAGTGTTCCATTCATTCGATAGATGTTGAGGGAAAATAGGTGGCACAACAAGAGATTGGGTGTAATCAAAATTGAAATAAGCAATTTTATTGCTCAAACTCAATACTCTGGGAATAAATCTGCTAAAATATTATTTGCACTCAAGAGAAGCTGCATGATATAGTCGGTAATTTGTCTTATCTTGATTGTCTCAGCAAATATCTTCTACTGCACTATTCAATCTTCTCGGGCATTTCATCCCTAAATGATGTTTTTAAATAGTGATGCTATTCCATCAAATTTGATGACCAGGTTCCAAGAAGGGATTTACACCAACCGATATAACTTCAGTTAGGGTTCTTAAACGGTAGAAACGTAAGACCTTAACAATAAGGTCCTTAAAGGTGTTAAGGTGTTTTTAGTCTAATTTAAAGTCCGTACCTTAAAGGAACATCTGAAGGATTTATTTCGAGGACTGTAATTCTTCATCTTTTTAAGTACCTATATGTGCTGACTGGCCCATTTCTCTCAGAATGTGTGGGATGTCTCACAAGCAAAGACAGCCTGTTTATCATGTCATCAACAGTTGGTATCTTGCCTAGCTGGAAGAGGAGTTTTACATGTTTACGCCTATCTTCCAATGAACACTCTTTTTAATGGATCAGATTTCATACCCAGAAACATTCTAGGTCTCTAAATAAGACTTAAACACGGGATTTATAGTATTTTTTGCATCTCATCCGTTTTTATAAATCAACAAGAAATGTCTCAGGAACATGCATTAAAAATTCAAAATGATTTTTTTTTCAAGGAAAATATGCAAAAAAAAAATTGAACTGTATATAGAATCCGACCACTTTGATTCTCTCCTCTCAGTTTAGCATGATTTTTTCAGGAACATAAATATATTCTAACCATCCAAATAATTTGGATCACCCAAAAATAAATTCAAAAATGGAAAGAAATTTTCTTTCATCAGCATTTTTATTTTTTGCTTTTTATTTGATCTACAATCTTACATATTCTCGAGCCAAATAATAGGAAGCGCAAGCGTAAAAAAACTGGTCATTTTTTGAAGTACAGTATAGCAAGAATATCTTGCAAATAATTTCCAATCATCATCTCAGAATTTTTAATCCGTCTTCATATTTGCCAGCAGCATTCAATGAACCATTGTGATTTTTTTTAGATGAATCCAGTTTCAGTCAAAACAAAATAATCAGGAAATACATCGACTCAGAGTTTCTGACTGGCGAAAAAACAAGCAATTCCAGGCAGAGGTCGCCCTCATCCTCATCACATCCACCAAAATAAATCCATTATCTCATCTACATTTCATTACATGTTTTCGTTCTTAGATGCAGAAAGAGAAAAGCATCATCATCTTACCCAGCTCTCGAATATTCAAAAGCAGCTGATTCGTAATATAATGCTGCCCAACCGACAGGTGTCACTGGAATGTTCTTTGAACTCGAAAAAACCCGACGACAGCGTGAAGTGACATCTACAAAGAGAACTAAAGACGACAACTGGTCGCATTCACATGGACAGCACCTCTATACATGCAAAAAAAAACAGAAGAAAATAAATGAGGCATTTTTCCATCCTGCTGTGCAATGGACTAAATCAACATAACAGACTTCTGCCACTTTAAAATTACAGTAACAGTAAAAAGTGAAAATTTTAATTTTCCTATAATGGAATTTTCATGACAGACTTTTTACACAACAGACCAATCACTTGCACAAATCAAGTCCACTGCATGTGAGGGTTAAGTCAACTGTATATAAAGAAGAACACATGCTTGAAGTGACATCTACGTGAAGCACAAGAATAATACCCAATATAAACTAAGCATCCAGAGACCGATACTTATGAAGAAACACACATACTATACACACCCAAGAATTGTGCAGGGAAGGAGATCCCCACTGTTCCACAGACAGATATATACACAAGGACAGACAGAGACAGACAGACAGACAGAAAAACTGTGGGTTCTCCTCATGGTTGGTCTTTTTCTGGTCCCTGGCTCACGCACACACGGCGAACAGCAGACAGAACAAGGAACCCCAAAAGAACCCACTGTAGTTTATCTCTCTCTCCCTCTCTCGTCAGCGACACCGACACCGACACTCCAGCAGGAACCTTCGACGACGACGACGACGACGACCGAGAAAGATCTCTGCAAGAAGAAAAAAAATTGTGTTACGTGTCCTCGGATCATTTTGAAATTGAAACATAAATTTTTTTATTTACATGAGTGGAACAGAGGAAGAGAGGAAACGATTTTTCTTAAAAAGAATGCTGCGAACTGAGTGAAAAAAAAAGTGGGTGTTTGCGATGAAGTGGTGCCGGGATCGCGTGTCGTGACGATCGATCATCATCATCATCATCGACATCAGTGGGATATCACCAATCAATCTCTCTTCCTCCTCTTGATTTCTTCCTCATCGTGGTTGTTGTTGTTGTTTGTTGTTGATCATCATCATCATCAGCATCAGTTTGATCAGCAACGAATGTCGAAACTGGGTGAGTTCCTGTGCCTTTCTTCTATTTTTTTTTTTCGTGCGTGTGCTTCTTGCCGTTATGTGACGACGACGAGCTGCGACGTCAGCAGACGAGTGACGAGCACCAGATCATCTTGAAAATCACTCTTTTTTTGTGTGTGTCTAAAACCGAACGAAGGTCTTTTGTTTTTGGTTTGATTCGTAATTTAAATGTGATTCGAAGCAATGTCCTCGGGAATGTTTTCTTCACTTTTTATTTCTACAGTGACCTGGATTTGTGGCCTGTTGGCAGCAGCAGCGGCAATAGGAAACATCGCAATCAGTGAGTATACAAACATTTTTGCTCGATATTTGCACGATTTTTTTTTAGCGCGTGGTCAAATCAGAAAAAAATGGTTTACATGCACTTATATGTATGTTGAAATATGCAAAAAAAAGGATAATTTTTACCGGCATTTTTGGGAGGGGGATTTTCAAATCGCAAACTCAAATTAGGATATGAGAAGACCAGCAACTGAAAAGTTACATGTCTTGTGTAGCATTAAAAATTTGACATGCGCTAAAATGTGCCCTTCTTCAAAATGGCGATTTAATGGGAACCACCAGAGAAACAGTTTGGTTAAGATACTAAGGTTTTCCATATGACACATCACATCATGACTGATTTCTTTAAAAATAACTAGATTGTCATTTTCTATTCAAGAAATCCCTCACCATTTTTATGAAGCAGTTCTAAATGCCAGGAAGGAAAGAATGCATTTTGAAACGCATTTCAACCTTGAAGCCTATATACTGTATATAAACCTATATTACAGTCAACCCCCACACAACAGACCTCCTGCCTAAAGCATTTCTGCTCAACAGTCTGCCTCTGGAGACAGTTTTTCCTCCAACCTAACAGACAAAATCCAACTAACAAACTCCTGTTGGTTTAAAATAAATGGTAAAAAATTAAATGTTTTAATTTTTTTCAGAAATAAATTCGTTCAAAAGACTTTCCGCATCATAGACTAGTCTGTTGCACAAATTAAACTCCATTTTGAGGAGTTCAACTGATATTGCAGTATCCTTCAGTCCTTCTAAAAATAAGAAAAAACAAAGGAGTGGATTGCAAATAATAATAAAAAAATGAATAGGTCTCTTACCCTCACACACACACACACACACAAAGACACATGCAAATGCTGGTGCAAGTAGAACATTAACCCCGTCTGGCAGAAAATATGCAACATGGAAAACGGCTACCTGGCTGTCTCAGGTCTCTGATGCTCTGTTGGCGAAATACAGAGAAGAAGAAGAAGAAAGAATTTGAGCAGCGAATAACTTGAAACATGCTGAGGAGACGAGATGAGGGGGACACCCCCAAGAAAAAGAAAGGAAAAAAAAAAAGAAGTAAAAAAGGAAGGATGATGAGAAGGGAAGGAAAGAAGAGTGTACATGAAATGAAAACAGGGAGAAATTCTCCCCTGCCAGCTTCTTGGCACTCACTTCAAGTATTAGCCCCAGCCAGCCATCTGGTCTTCACACGCTACCTGCATTTCTGTCGCACCCCACAGCTTCTTGCCCAGTCTAGAATAAAGAAAGCTTTCCAAGTATAGTCTGTTTCTTGGGACAACTCATTTCCTTCTGAGAAAGAAAAAAGTACGGTGGAGGAGGAGTTGAGGTAAGAATGACTGCCTGCCAATGTTTCAATAATAAAAACAAAACAGTTTATTTAGAAATGAAGTTTCAAACAATTACTGGAAGTTCTTCATATGATAAAATATCAGACCTTGTTATCTGCAATTATTCTCCAACTTAAAATTTGTTTGTTCGCCAAACCATGCTAATTTGAACACCTGTATAGTGATGCAAACAGCTGGAGGAGGTGTTTTTGTTCTTTTTAACCTGAGTTGCATTTAAAATGACAAACTTCATTTTCAATTACAGTATATGGTACATGAATACTGTATTTACTTGAGTACAGTATCATGTGCCCTCAATCAAGTAAGATGAGCACCAGCATTTTCAAGCAAAATATTTGATAACATTGATCATTGACTAAGACACTCAATCCACTTTTAGTGACTATAAAATTGCAATATTTCAAAAAGAAGAACACCTAAATTTTAATTTAGACAAGAATTGAACCTTAATTCAACTAATTTTTGAGTATTTCCATTACAAAAAGGTTTTTCGAAAGCTTCCCATTAAAATCAAATATAATGCATTCCTGAGCTTCTAAACATTTTTGAAAAGTGTATGCATGCCAATGATGCACATCTCTCTTTCCCCCTAAATTTTGAGAAACAAAGTGCACTTTTTACTGTACTTAGTAAATGTGGTACACAGCATTTTTATCAGCAATAAAAAACTAGCCTCCCAATGTGCATCTTCTTCTGAAATTGATGCCCCTACTGTCCTTAAGAATGAAGTCTGCAATGCATGTTGAGTTGTTGACACTTTTAGTGGTTAGCAGTCATTTCAAAATAAGTTGCAAGATAAAAATGTTTCTCAATACATGGCCCTAGCCATTTTTTGATCAAATCATAAGCTGTGGTATCCATTTATGAAAAAAGAGTTCTATGATCCGAAAGTGCCAAAATGTTCTTAACAATATAAAAAAAATCTTTTTCAATTATAAACTGAATTGGTATTCAAAGAAAACATTACTATTCTTCAGTGCAAGTAGTAAATAATGTTACATTTGTGATCTAAAAATACCTGAGAAATTAAGCATTGCAGCACACAGAAACAAGGTCATTTAGTCATCAAAATGACTACTCAGGTGAACACTTGATTGAACTAATTGAAAAATTTTCCTACTACAACATTTTGACAAAAGATCTGAATGCTTTTGACATGCCCTGTCAAATGTTTTAATCATTTATGATTCCCCTTGTGAATTTTATGTGCTTGTTAGGAGAAGATTTAGAAAAACATGTTTGTTTTACTATGTCTGTAATTTTATGGAAACTCCGAAACAAAACATTGTAGAAACCCAAGTTTATCATTTTTTGAATAAAATTCTTTTGTCGGTAAACAGAGGCACGGAAAGAAATAAATTAAAAATCTCCTTCTTGTTGATAAACTCAATATATTTTGGAAGCACTATAATCTCTGGAAAAACACATCCAAGAAAAAATTTCCAAATATTTTTCATGAACTAAAAATAATCTTCCATCAATTTAATTCGTCCAAATTTTGAAATGTTGATGATGTTCAACATACACAGTCAACCCCCACCTAATGGACCTCCTGCCTAAGGGATTTCTGCTCAACAGACTGCCTAACACACCAAATCCACCTAACACACTTCTGTTGGTTCAAAATTAATGGTAAAAAGTAAAAATTTCATTTTTTTTATTGAATTTGCACAAGGGACTTTTCCCATACCAGACTAGTCTGTTACACAAATTAAGTCCATTGTGCAGAATTGACTGCACATTATTTATAACTTTAGAATGCCTTGAAATTTTTGACAAACACAAATAATTTTCATACTCAACCGTAAGTACAGGAAAATACTATTATAAATGGTGAACAAAGACCCGATTTTCTTCTTCAACGATTTTAAGACGAAAAAAACGGCCTGTCCGAAAAGTCAAACGATACTCGAACTGGGTGGAGTAAAAGAATTTCAAACGTCTTGGAAAGACGAGAAGGAGAAGAAATAAAAAGAAGAAAAAAAACGAAGACGAAACTGGATTTTCAAGAAATGCATTCCTCATCCGTCTTCTCCCTCCTTTTCTATCCACTCTTGAGAGCTTCGCTACGCTTGTATCGGTTTTGAAAATATCTTTTGGCCAACAAGGAGACAAGTGATGCCACCAGGTCAAGGAGGCTTCTGCCATTTCCTCGCAAAAAGTCAGGCCCGTTTTATTTTTATTTATTTATTTCATTTTACCAACTTGTCCATCACAAGAAATTTTATTTTTTCTTGGCGTCTAGACTGAGGCAGGACCATGTCCGATATAATCATCTAGAAAGTGGAAAACAGGTGCTTTTGTGGCTCGCTGAATTTCCAGAAGAGTGTCACGTTTCCAGAGGCCTCAAGTTCAAGACGATATTCCTTGTCTTCAGTCTGCTGGTTTTCTAAATCAAGTGCCTTCTTTATTTGTTTAGGGTATATGAGAAAAGGTCCCTCTCCTGATTTATGTTCCATTCACGAGGATGAATGCGGAGACATTGGCTCAGTCTGTCAGGGACAAAGAAAATGAACACTTTTTTTGCGCCAAGTGAGACAGCAGTTAGAGGGTTCGAATTTTTCATTCTCTCGCGAATGGGGCAGTTTAAGAGGACGGGGTAAGCAAAAAGGAAAAGAAAAAAAGGTGGAATGTGGTAAACACGAATAGAAAAATGATATGAAAAACGAAGCAAGACTGAGAAAAGTGATTTGGAATGTCCTTCACACCTCATTTGCACTTGCTTCTTATACCTGCTCGCCCACATTCCGCCCCTCACAACTCGGAAAAGAAACATTTACTCATCTCTAAATGTTGTCTGAGGAACCAGAAAAAAAGAAGAAGAAGAAGAAGATACTTGTTTTGCTTCATGTTGTTTATATTTTTCCATTTCACGGAAGTCTCGACTTTCAGGAAGAAGATGAGAGTAATAAACTCTTTTTTTCCAATTATTTATAAATATTTTTGGTTTCTTTTTTTGCAGGCCAACATATGCCCATGGGGGGATCCGGTTTCTATGGACGTGGGTTTCCTTGCCAGAATTTCAGCCCCATATTCACTTCGGACCACGAGGGCCACTTTTTCTCTCCCAACTATCCAGCACAGTACCCAAGGAACTTGGAATGCCAGTTCCAGATCTCAGGTGAATCTGCTGTGCATTACATGTATTTATTTATTCATTCATTTTTCTATTGCCTTGCTCACTGATAGCAATCAGGGATCATTAACAAAAAGATACTCCATAAATTGAAAAGCAGAGCTTTTAAAAAAGCTGTGATATTTTAGCATGTTTTTATAAACTTGCTTTCTTGTCCATTTGTTTGTCCGGATCAAATTTTGCAACTCAAATTTTGCTCACTTCCTAACTAGCTAGCAAGCTGAAACTTTCAGGATAGCTTAGAAACATTTTGAAAACGTGGTTTTTTAGATTAATTTTTTAATCTACTAAATTTTGATTTTGCTTTCTGTGATTTGAGAAAGGTGTCGCTTGAGTCACTAACTTGGAAAAATTTGACCTGACCTGGTGACTATAAGCATGAAATGAAACTTAACTAATTGCAAATCTGATCGAGGAGAAAAACATGCAGGATGAAAGAGAAGAATTGAGCATTGTCTAGAAGCTCTGAATTATGCTCTAAAAAATCTATTATGACACTCAAGCATGAAATGAATAAATTTGTTTAAATCTGGATGAATTGTATAAAAAACAACAAGTTTGACTTTCCACTCTTGCCTTCTGAAAATGCTGCATAATTTGTGTGCTGATTATAATTTAAGTCAGGGTGGTAATACTGTATAACCTTTGGACAGATTGGAGCAAGGGATTTGCATCAGCTTTTTGATATTGCAGAGGATTTTTCATCTCAAGTATTGACAAAAAATTTATGATTAAATTAGAACATGTTCAGATGCACCAAACATGTTCAGAAATTCAGATGCACCGTCTATATACAGAACAGGTTTTGTTTTACATTTGAGCATGTCCACTTACTTTTGGTTTTAGCATGAAACTATTTTTTGCACATGTTACTTGTACATGATTTCCCCCTTTGTATTGATTGAACCTTGGACAGCAGAGGGTTTTCCTTTCTTTTGAGCCACAAAGTCCATATTTTTTTGGCGGATGGTGCATTTCAGTTTGACTCAAGGTCCCTGAAATGTCCTGAGAAGGTCTAAGTGGGGAAAAATCTTGGAGGCAAAGTTTTTTTCTTAAATCTTTCATGAGAATCTTATGCCATGAATGTGAGGAAAATGCCACCCCATCAGAGATTTTCTATTATTGTTTATTCACAATTTTATGCAGCATTAAAACAAATATTGGACATTTTAAAACTTAGGCTTTGGTAAAAATTAGTTTTTTTTATTTTCAGCATAACATTTTGAAGAAATATCCCAACTTTTCCACAGAAGGGTGAAATGAGGTAGAAGGAAAAATTCATGATTGAGAGGCATGAGAAAGAATGTTAGATCAGTACATTTACATTTTGTCACATGCCTCTCAATCATGAATTTTTCCTTTTAGCTCACTTCACCCTTGTGTGGAGAAGTTGGGATATTTCTTTTATGATTTTTTTTTCCTGGGTACAGATTTTCTGCGTTGCAACTTCAGGGGTCACCACCGTATAGAAGACTGTTTTAACGCTTTGGAAATTGTCATCCAATGGTTTGGGCACAGCAGCAGTTTGCATGAACAGTTATGGCAAAGTAATCGGCAGAATGTTTCATTTTCCAAAGCTTCCAATACAAGTAGGACCATGAAGAAACGATTTTAAATCTGGTATATTTTCCCCATTAACTTCAATCAAATGTTTACCTGTCACATTGTGCCACCACATATGAAAAAGGTCAGGAGGATCATTCAAATCGAAATAGCTGTTCTTGTCTTAATTTGAACTATTTCAACTTGAAAAATGTATTCGTTTTTGTTTGCCTGTCGCTCAAATTTTTTATGGTTTTCCTTTGTTCTAATTAATGGGTTTAGGTTCTATACTGGCCCATGTTTTTTCAGACCATGTTAAGTTGGTTTTGGTTGGCTTGAGTTGTATGTTCTTGTCACTTTAATGTTCCAAATGACACTAGCCTACATTTTCTAAAATCTGTGCTGCTGCATGAAAAATAAACTTCATTGTTTTCCTTGTTTTATCGCAGCAAAGTGCAACATTTATGCGTAATTTTGAAATAAATTTGACAAATTTTGAAAAACCATTACAGCTGAGACGAGAGTTGTTGAGTTGAGAAACATTTTTTGGCGTTTTACTGCGAAATGAAACACAGTTTCCCAAAGCACCCTGAAAAAACGTTCTCACAGCATTTCAGTGTCAAAGTCGTAACCCCAACAAAAGTGTAGCGAGTCCGAGCTGTTGACAATTTCCAGGCGGAGGAGGAAGAAGAGGGGGTTATATAGAAACTCATCATTCCTGGCAAGCCAGGATTGCTGGAAATTCTTGTCCGCATATATTCTTGCTCAAGAGAAGGAAAAACCTGGGGGTAGGAGGAAGAGGGGCCAGCATGTTGTTGGAATGGACCCAGCTTATTCCATGCTCATCAACCCCCAGCCTGGGTTATTTGTTTCCCACATGTCATCAGTGACAGTTCAAGACTGTTTCTTTCTCCCAGAGCTATAGAAGAAAGAGACCCTGGTTACCTTTTTTCTTTTCTTTTTTTTTAAAACTGTAAATGTTCATTTTCTGTTACTGTTGCTTGCGTTTTTTTCCACACAAAAGCCTCAACGTTGTGTGTATATGTGCTTTGAAAGGTTCATCCTGGGAAAGCTGTTGTGGAGAGAATGCACTGAGAAAAACCCAGTAAAGGTTGATTTTCAAAAAGTAGTCTATGCACAACCTTCATCATCATGAAAAAGCACTGCTTGGCTATACTCCTTTATTCCTTTGTTTCATCCAGAATAACCGTGTTTTGGATTTGCTTATGTGTAAAAATTTGTTTTATTTTCTTGCACATGTGTTTTCAGTCCTACATGTGGATTGTGTTATTTCTTTGCTATCAAATTACACAATAAATTGTTTTGAAAAACAGGAACACGTTTTTAAGATATGTCCCCTTGAAAATATGTTCTTGGCTATAAACGCGCTGACTGCCTGTGTTTTTTTTTTTTTTTTTTTGCTGTCCCTTTATCATTGGCCAGGTTGGGGTTCTGTTAATGCCAAAAAATAGTCACAATCAATATCATTTTTTAAATTTGGACTCTTCCATATACTTATAATGTTTGCAAATGGCTCTTGCAAATGTGGAATTGACAGCATAGCATCAACTCACCTTGTATTGCTCCTAAATTTATTCTAAAATTATATATGATCTTGGAGTATAAAGTTGTAATTTTTGTGGGAAATCCTCAGAACGTTTATATGGGAACCTTTTGGAAATGTTTTTCAAGTTCAAGCTAGCAGGTAATTCCGCAAGATTTTCAACAATTATTTCCAAATGAAATGGAAAAATGTCTGCAATGTGTCAACTGAGTTTGAGTATAGATTTAAAAAACGTTTTCTGGCATTACAACTGCTGCTTCCAAGCGTCAGATTTTTCTGCCGATGTATACATTGAGAAAATTGAAACATGGAAGAGGCCAAACCATTTCCCAAGTCAAGACTTCACGCCTTTCTACTTGACCTAGCTGTTGTGGAGAGAATGCACTGAGAAAAACCCAGTAAAGGTTGATTTTCAAAAAGTAGTCTATGCACAACCTTCATCATCATGAAAAAGCACTGCTTGGCTATACTCCTTTATTCCTTTGTTTCATTCAGAATAACCATGTTTTGGATTTGTGTATGCATAAAAATTTGTTTGATTTTCTTGCACATGTGTTTTCAGTCCTCCATGTGGATTGTGTTATTTCTTTGCTATCAAATTACACAATAAATTTTTTTGAAAAACAGGAACACGTTTTTAAGATATGTCCCCTTGAAAATATGTTCTTGGCTGTAAACGCGCTGACCGCCTGTGTTTTTTTTGCTGTCCCTTTATCATTGGTCAGGTTGGGGTTCTGTTAATGCCAAAGAATAGTCACAATCAATATCTTTTTTTTTTAATTTTGACCCTTATATACTTTTAATGTTTCCAAATGGCTCTTGCAAATGTGGAATTGACAGTATTGCATCAACTCACCATGTACTGCTCCTTAATTTATTCTAAAATTATATATGATCTTGGAGTATAAAGTTGTAATTTTTGTGGGAAATCCTCAGAAAGTTTATATGGGAACCTTTTGGAAATGTTTTTCAAGTTCAATTAAGCAGGTAATTCCTTAAGATTTTCAACAATTATTTCCAAATGCAATGTAAAAATGTCTGCATTGTGTGAAATTGAGTTTGGGTAGATTTCAAAAAAAAATTCTGGCATTACAACTGCTGCTTCCAAGCGTCAGATTTTTCTGCCGATGTATACATTGAGAAAATTGAAACATGGAAGAGGCCAAACCATTTCCCAAGTCAAGACTTCACGCCTTTCTACTTGACCTAGTTTCAAGAGCATTTTCAAGAGGGGAGCAAAGGGAGGAGAAACAGAGGAACCACAGTGTCACCACTCATTAATCACCCCTTTGGCACACGCTCAAGAAGGTCACTTGTGTCATTCCGAATCCATCCAAGGCAGCTCAAAATTTATCTATGAATTTTTCACCTGAAACTGTTTGAAATTTTACAGCTTCTACTTGGTTCTTAGAACATAACAGAGAACATAAGAGAACCGCCGTTTTTGAAATTTTTTGTCGTTGCAGGAATATATAGACATGGTCGACTTTTTTAACATTGATAAGTTTTAAGCTCCCTAAACGTACACCTATTGAAAGGTACGTTAAATATATGTACCTTTTACTTGTCAGGTGCATAGCTTTCAGAAGGTTTCTCTGTTTTTTAAACAAAAAACTGAAATTTTTTCCAATGTCAGATCAGAAAAACTACAATATTCATTTTTCAAAAAATTACCCTGATCTTTTTAAAATACAGCACCAGCCATGAGCAAAGTTGAATAAAGATTTATGGAAAATTTGCCAAAATGTCATTCAAGTCAGGGGTGAATAACATACGAGTACAAAAATCTCACAAAATTATAAGAGCTTGCTTTAAATATGTTTTTCTTTATCACACATCAGCGATTTGAAGTTTATTTTCACTCAGAAAATGGAACCTGAAAGCCTAAATGAATCCTTTGTTTTGCACAGCCCTGCGCATTTTATTTCATGCAATGTAATTTTGTCACAATCACACGTGTTTAGATTCATTTAAAGTTAAAGACAAAAAAAGAGTTTTGAAATAAGGCCCCAAAAAGCTCAACTGGTGACCTGAACACCAGATAGAAGAAACAAATTTGCTCCATTAAAACATAATTTTCACTTTTTGCTCCTTCAACGTATTTTAAATGATCTATGCTCACTCAAATACCACGTCCTCAAGTAAGATTTGGACCAGAATATTTTTCCAGGAAAATCATATGAAAACATTTATAAGCCATTTTCCCTTCTGAGTTAAAAAAAAAATGCAAATATAATTGTTCATTCAACTAAACCTCATACAGAAGAAAGCTGAAGACCTTGTACTTTAAATAAACTTTTACTGCTACTTTGTTTTCAATGTCAGGAAATGGGTGGGTGTATGCATACATATCAGATGTCCAGTTTTATTTTGTGGAATGTGTTCTCTTTTATTTCTGTCATCAACTTGAGCTTTGTTTCCTGCTTTGAAGTGACTGAATGTGTTTGAGGGTATTTTGGTTGGGTGGGGAGGGGGTTTGGATGCGGGAGTCTCGGTTGTGCCTTGTGAACGCTGAAAAGCGGCAAATAAAGTGTTCTGTTCATTCATTCAAAAATATGCACATGCTATCCACCAGCAAATACTGTGTTTAAAATTTTCCATTTAAAATTCAGAAGTGTATAATGTTGCAAAAGGGTTTTTTCCTATACAGTATTGCAAATATGAAATTTTCTATTTTTCTCTCATGTGCAGCACCACCTGGAAAAAACATAAAGCTGGACTTCAGAGGAGAGTTCTTTGAGCTGGAACCTTCAGACAGATGGGATGGCAGGTGTGAGGACACCAAAATATGAAATTTTCTATTTTTCTCTCATGTGCAGCACCACCTGGAAAAAACATAAAGCTGGACTTCAGAGGAGAGTTCTTTGAGCTGGAACCTTCAGACAGATGGGATGGCAGGTGTGAGGACACCAATGACTACCTGGAGGTCAGGGATGGTGCCCACGGATACTCGACGCTGAGGGGCAGGTTCTGTGGCACCGGGTTCCCAGAGCCCATAGTGTCTTCTGATAGACACCTTTGGCTCAGTTTCAAATCCGACGAGAACATCGAGATGCGGGGTTTCCAGGGCGTCTTTACATTCGTCAACAACAGTGGTAAAATCCCTGGATTCAAAATCATTTCATGCCTCAGGGGTCTGTAAAAACAAATTATGTACAAGAGAACTCTAATCTCTGAAACAAAATTCAATGGACAATAAGAGAGAAAATCAGTTGTGGAGAAAATTTTGTTGCAGAGAACCCCTATAACATGGGGAGAGAACCCAATGGAACCAAAAAAAATGTGTTATGCATAGAAAATCATTGCAGACAAGATTGTTGTAGAAAGAGTCCACTTGAGTGTCACATATTTCCTCAAGTGAGACTCACAACCCCATTTTTGCTCCTAAAATTTGGGTATCTCTATATATAAGTCATGAAACCCATTTTGAGAGAAGACTAAAAATATAAATATTTTGAAAATAAAATGCATCACATTTTATATTTTTACTTGAATTTCAGTCTAATTGAATGTTGATTTTTCAAAATTTCAATTCTTGAAATTTTCTGTAGAAATCAAGTATGATAGGTTCACCAAAGCTTGAGAATTTTTATAAACGTGATAAAGGTGATATCCTGTTGATTGATCTGGATTTGTTGCTGGACTGGGGTCAATTTGCAAACCATTCAAATTGTGAGACACTGTGTAAAATTAAGGAAGAGCTGCTCAAAATCACTGGAAAACTGACTGGAAGAGGTCTAATTGTATAGTGTGCATGTCAAGTTACAAGTCAATTTCCAAGCAACTTTGACCATGAAATTTCAAGTAAAATTGCAAGATACCACTTGTACCCACCTATAATGCACACCTCCTTTTTCTTTTTAATATCCGAAGAAAGGTGTATGAGGTACTGTGTACCTACAGTAATCAGAATTCTTTATGAGGAAAATGTGATATTGTGTACATGTACTGAATATAGGTGAGACTCCAGATAGAGAAGCTTGTCGGTTGGAATTGGGAGGCATCCAGGGCATCATCACACACAAGCAAATCCCTGAGGAGCAGAAAAACTTCACCAGGAAACACTCCAAGAGGCTTGACTGCACCTGGGTCATCAAGGTTGAGGAGGGGTACAAGGTGAGTCATGTCCTCAAGGTTCAAGTGTTCTAGAAGTTCAATTGGGTATGCACTCTAAACTATAGTGTACAGTGAACCTCAAGCATCCCCTATTATGATTCTGTAACCCCAACAGGTTCCATGCATAATGTCTCATGTTTCTTGAGATCATGAAATGTATGAGTACAATATGTTCTTTTGCTTCTTGGGTTTCATACATGTCACGTTTCTCAGATTCATTTCTATCTGGCTGAACTAAGTTTGATAGGTTATGTTTTTGATATGGATTATATATGTTCTGCTTAGTTACTGCATTGCCATGTATGTTATGCACCTAGGTTTCATACTATGTATCAGCTGATTTTGGTTCATGTATGCCCTGTTATGTGACTTTGTGTTGTGCATGTTATTTTAAACACTTTTATTCATGTATCCACTGCATTACAGTATTATGTGTCTTAGGGTCATGCATGTTGTGGGGGACATGTTATGTATCTTTGGTCCATGTATGTTACCTCATGTAAATGTGGTTCAGGGATGTTAACTGTGTTACTCTGTGTTTGAAATGTATGTCATGTTCTAATATGCTTCCTTGCAGCAAGCATTTCATGCTGCTTAGGTTTATGATTACCATAGATTACGCTTTTTTCTGACACTTTAAATGTGTGCCAATTTATTTTGTTAGTTGTCATATACATTACATAGCATCATGTTACTGTGCTACAGGTGGTACCTTGTAATTTTACTTCTCAGAATTTCTCCATCCCAGAGTTTTATGTTCAAATTTTCCTGGAAAGTTTACTTGCAATTTGACCTCAGCCCTGCAATTCAACATGCAGAGCAATGACCAACATCAAATTCAATATAGAAAACACTGCACCTGATGTTGTCTTGCAATTTGACTGCTTCACAATTTGACCCAAGCCCAGCAATGAATTTGAATTGAATTGCAGAGTACCACCAATATCTCATGCATATTGGGTTCATGTGCCGTATGTTACATTATACTGTACAGTTGACCTCTGCACAGCAGATCTCCAACACAATGGACCACCTCTGGAGGCAGTTTTTCCTCTTGTGTGACAGACTAAATCCCCCTAACAGACTTCTGTTGATTTAAAATTAATGGCAACAAGTAACAATTTTAAGTCACATAAGAGACTTTTTACACAACAGACTAGTCTGTTGCCCAAATTAAGTCTGTTGTGCTGGGTTTGGCAGTATTGTTTGTGCATTGGGGGTTTTTACAAAATCAGTTTTTACCCATTCAGTGCTGCATATATTTTAGCAATATGGTGGAATGCAGATTAGTTGGGCTTTTTTTTTTTACTTCAATTAAGATTTAACAAAGTTAACTTATTTAAAAAATGTGCTGGACTGTACCTAAAATAATTTCCCTAATCAAATAAATACAATACAGTATTTCTAAGATTTGATCATCTTCTGCTGGGAAGTGTCCTTCAGTTATTGGGAACCGTTTCCATCCCCCAAAAAAAATGCATCTTATCATTTTATTCCAGATTTTGCTGTCCTTCCTGACCTTTTCCCTGGAGCAGCCCAACGAATGCGGCATCAACTTCATGGACGTGTACGGAGACAAGACCAACGAGCAAAGCAACTTGCGCCACTTTTGCGGGAGCATGGCCGAAACGGAGCTGACCCCGGGCCACCTGGCCCACCTGCGGTTCGTCAGCGAACCCGGTGGACTCGAGTCCAAGTTCAACGTCAGCTACAATGCCATCAGGGACCTGACTGCTGATAATGGTACTGGTGTGTAGTCCCTTGCCCGGCTAATCCACTTTTTCCCCGGCTTATTAATAATCTCGTTTGGATTGTTTTGTGTCTTCTCTTCATTATTGTGCTGGTGATGTTGGGGCTGCTGCTGCTGCTGCTTTTGTTATTATGATGGTCTGTCGGTCTGTCTGCTTTTTTTTTTTTTTTTTTTTTTTTTTGCAATCTATATATGTGGTTTTTTTCCCCTGCTTCAACAAGATTTTTTGGGGAACTTGAATCCTCGATGTGAAAAGATTGGAAACAGCTTGGGAATTATTTACTTGAGGAATTCTTTAAGACGTTTTTTTTCATGTCCCAATAAAGAATTAAGCAACTCAGAGATTTTCAGATCTTTCAAACAAATGATTTCACACTCAAAAAAATACGAAGAATTTTCGACAGTTTTTTTTAAAGTTTTTGATGGATTCGGGGTTTTTAAACTCTGCACTGAGGTTAACTCATTCTCAGTGGAATATGAATAAATTCTGTTTTTTTAGAGAAGTATACGTAAAATATTTTAGAAGTGGATTTTCTTGGGCTTAATGTATCGCCTTTTCATCGGCATTTGAAATTAATTTGAATATTATACTTTATACAAGTTTTTGCAAGGTTTTCTTCAAGGCCTGTTCAACAGTCCCGGTTCTATAGGGCTTTTTTTTTTTTACCCCAGAAAGGTACCCTGAAAAAAAATACCAGGTTATGTTTGTATTTTCAATGTGCTGCTTATTTGTGGTAATCCAAAGAAAGGTGTCTGTGAATTTTCAAATTCTTCCTATTATGGTGATAACATACTGGAATGGTCAAAACTGGATTCTTCTACCTTTTCCGGTTGGAAGAAAATGTGCAAATAATGTTGTCCCGCTTTTTGTCAAAAGTCTTAAAATTCGTCGTGATAACGATGATGAAATAAATGTTTTGGTTTGAAATTTCTTTAGGATTTTGAAGGGATTTTGATGGACCGTCTTGGTTTGCAGATGACAAATGTTTTGACACGGAGTTTGACTGCACTGATGGGACTTGCATCGACAAGGCCCTTTTGTGCAATGGAATCCACAATTGCAAATTCATGCAGGATGAAATGGAGTCCGAATGCAAAGTGAGGGTGCCTTTTTTCTATAAACTTGGTGAATGGAACAATGGAGCGCTTTTTACAATGTCCCGAACTGAAAGAGCGCGACTTTGCAGAGTAGCGTTCAGCGCATATTCAATAAAAATTATAAAATACGAGGACGACCAGAAATATGATCATTTGAAATTTTTTTATAATTTCCAAAGAAAGCTTGTGGCTATTTAAATTATTTTAATCTTTGAAAATGATTTTCCAACGCATTTTCTGTTCATTTCTAAATATTTCTGCGAGGAAATTAAAATTCTGTGTTACATTTTTTGGAATTACAGAGGAAAATGATGCAGTCCTATTTGCAGGGCAAATACGTAACAGTGCAAAAAATATTACGGTACACTGCCGCATGACTGTATTCACATCATGTGAAAACTCTAAATTTATCAGACAGAATCCCATTATATTCCATGAAAAAATTTTTTTCAGGAAATCGTATACGTATGCAAAATTGTGAATTGAAGAAACAATTTTGCACATGCTCTTTTCTGCACTTCAGCTCATTTTGGTTTGTCTTCTTTTGAAATCCGCTCAATCACTCATTCATTAAATTCAGCTGAAATATGCCTAAATTCTCTTATTGAATAATTCCATGTACTTTTGACTGGTCACTGATATTACATATTTTTCCTGACATTTTTAGACTACTGAACCCGGCACAAAGAAATTTGCAGAAAGCCACATCCTGGTGATCATGACTATTGGGTGCATGTTACTCGGAGGAATGTGCTTCATCATGGTCTTCAATTGCATACGAAAGCTACGAAATGACAGAAGAGAATACAAGGTGAGCTTTGCTTTAACCAAAACAAAATGTTTAGCAGTCACCAGCGGATTTGCAGAAATGGCCTCAAGTGCATGAGACGCATGCTAAATTTACAGTATACTTACTTCAATGAATTTTCAAAATTCTGCTAGGCATCACCTTCAAATAATCGGCAGATTCATCATAAAAGAATAATAATAATTTATGAAACTTAAATCGGAAAATGCTCATTCAAAACCTCAGGCATATGTTGAAAGCTTGGAACTAAACATGCACAACTCTGATGCAATCAGAAAACCTGCATAAATTTTGATAATCCGCATATAAAAAAACATTGGACGTACGCAATTTTCTCATATTTTCAAAATTTTGAATATATGAAAAGTAAAAAAAAATTGCAGGCCTATGATAATTTATTCATTTATTTAGGGATGAGTTCAGAGACAAAATTTTGTTTTCAACTCCTTATTCAATGGAAAATTTTCTTTATTTGTTGAAATTGTGATGAGCTGGAAAAGCTTCATTTGATCTTCACTTGCAGTCATGTCCTGTATATATTTTTTGCTTCCTATATGGATGAAACATCTGGAAAAGACAGGCCATAAGAAGCTCACATGCGCAATGATGTGATATTTTCATTAAATTCCTTAAACAGGTGGGGTCCTGCAAATTTACCCTAATCTGTTGCTGGACTAGGATCAAATTGTGAAGCAGCAGTCAAATTGCAAGACAATGTTAAAGTTGATGTTTTCTAATTGGTATTTGATTTTTTGCATCTCTGTTTGGGTCAAATTAAAGGGCAGATGTTGAATTGTGATTTGACCTCCCATCAGGATGAACAAATGGTGGGTGGGTTGAACTGTGGGGTACCAACTGTGTATAAGGATTGCTTCAATATTTTTTTTCGCATGAATATATACAGATGACCTAATTTTGTTTATTGTTTGCAGTCATTAAATTAAATTTCTTCATATCCTGCGTTTTATTTTCACTTATTCCAGGAGCGTCGGTCAGCAGAAGGCAGCTTGGACAGGTCAGCTGCAGAACAAGCTTCTCCTTCAGCAGCTGCCGTAATGATCCTCTTGGCACAACAACAACAACAACAACAACAGCAACAAAACCAACAACAACAACAGAACACAGCTGCGACCACAGCAACCACAAGTGCCCGATCCACACCCACCAACACCAGCAATCATTTGCGTCGAGGAACGGGTTCCAGGCCGGGTTCTGTCGTGCTCCGCAACGGCGCCGCTTTCCGGTCCCCGCCGCCGCCGCCGCCGTGCGTGACGGATCCCTGCGTCGCGGCGGCGGCGTACAGGTCCGCCTCGAGACTGACTCTGGCGGCGAGTCACAAGGAGACGCAGACGCCGACGACCATGAGGTCAAGGTCTGAGACGCCGCCGTCGGGGTCGTCTCCGTCTTCTCTCTCGGGTCAGTGATACAGCATACAGTGAAATTCAGCTACAACGAATCTCGTTATACAATATCTGCCACCAAACTGCACTGCATTTTTTCAGCCTCTGGACAAGGGCATAATACAAACTGTGAAAGTTCATTACAGGAAAAATATTTTATAGAAAATTCTCGCAAACATTGCATGTGATAAAAAGGATACTGACATTGACATCAGGCAAGCAATTGAAATGATTGCTTGTGTCTGGTCAATTAAATTTGTTTCTCATGCTTTGAAATTGCAAGTGATGAAAAATATGATCTACTGAGAAAAGTTGAGGATGCATTGCCAGCAGCAGTAAATAAGAATTTTGTTAAGAAGAAAATCACTGATTTTTTCAAACAATAATTTGAGTTCTTAAACTCAGAGGCAAGCCTGATTCAGAATATATGCAGATCTGAGCTGAAAAAATTCTTCCAGTCATTTTTTTTTAAATCTTGTTACAACAAATTATCCATTATAACAAACTTTTTCTGCAGTCCCCAGAAGTTTGTTGTAACAAGATTTTACTGTGTACCGAACTTTTACTATAGCGAATTTTTCTTTTTTTCTTTTTGGTCTAAGTAGCTTCTTCATTGGGACAATGTAATAAGAATTTTTTTTTCATGACCAACTAAGTTTCCTCTAATTATTATATGTGCTGTGCATCAGCCGTTTAAACTTATACTAAAATTGGCACAACATGGGATGATTCAACTTGTTCATACTTGAGAAACCTTGAAACAAATTACTGTTCTTTTGTGCAAAAAATTGAACAATGCTGAAAATATGAAGCTATAATCAAAATTTATTCAGCTTCATTTTAGAGATGGCTAATTAAAAAAAGGAATGAGTGTTTGGAAATATATTACTTCATTTCAGAGAACATCCATCAGTGTTGATGATTCAATTATCTTCTCACTATTTTTATTTTTTTAGTTGATGCAATGCTTCAGTGAGTAGGCATAATTTAGAAAATTTAAGAAGAGGAATAAAATCAGAAATGAGAGGTCTGCTGTATATCATATTTTGGATTTTCTTGAGTATTGCATCAAAATAAGTTTGTAATTCAGGCAATTCTTCATGAATCTATATGGAAATCATTTAAATCTATCGGGTATTACCAGCTTCCCAGAAAATTTCATATTTGCTTGAATAACCATAAATTTCATCATCACAAATTTTCATCAGGTTTGGCTTTGAGGGAGTTTGTTGTTAAAAGATGTTATTGGACAGGTGGTTCCCCACAATTGAAGTTTATATAAACCATTGATGGACTGGGGTTGAATTATGAAGCTGTTGAATTGTGAGACAATGTCAAGTGCTCTGTTTTCCACATTGTATTTGATGTTTTGTGCATCTATGTGGGTCAAATTGTGGGACAGAGGTCAAATTGTAAGTCAAACTCCCAGGAAATTTGACTGTCAAAATTATGGGATAGATAAATCATGTACATTGTGGTTGAATTTCTGGGTACCACCTGTAACTTGTTTTCTTCAATGTACTTCAGTAAAATTTTTGAGTTCTTGATATTGTAGAATGGTTCATTTGACCTATACAGAAACAATATTTCTTATTGTTGGTCCCCAGTTCCAAAACTCTCCAGTTTCTTATTTCATTTTTATGAAGTGTCAACAACATAAGATGCTTTTCACAAAAGTAAGTTGGTTCTGAAAAAGTTATGCCCAACACCTTTCATCATCCAACGAGTTGCAAAGAAAGGGCATATGATAGATTTTACTCTTTTTTTTTTAATGTGCAGTGTTCATATAAGGGTTATAAAAAATTTTCTTGGAATAGAAATGAAAATAATGCATATTCAAGCTGAAAAAACATGTATTATTTACGGAAAAATTACTTTTTGGCAAAAAAAATCAGCCCTTTTTGACAATTTTTTTTTAATGTCATGCAAAATTCACCCTGGCAGAGTTTTGCTCTCCTCTCAACAGATGAGGAAGCCTTCCGCTGTAGATTTTTGTTGGTGTAGCTCAGCTTTCCCCTACAGAATTCTTGAAATCAACGTTGCATTAATTCCAAGGGTTGCCTCCAGGTCTTCCAAGGTAATTCTGCCATTTGCAACAACAGCCGCTTTCACAGCTGCCAAATTGGCGGCTGTTGTTTTCCCTAAATAATACATTTTTTTCAGCTCGCTTATGAATTATTTGCATTTATATTCCAAGAACTTTTGTTAGAACCCTCGTGAATCAAACATATAAAAGTTAGTTCAATGATGAGCTCATATATGCTCAGTTGGGTGGCGCAAAGTCCCAATAAGAGATAAAAATCATGAAATTTTTCTTAATGTTTTACAAGTGGATGAAAATTTCTTTCTTTAGGATTCGGAATACCGTAATAAATCAAGGATATTTGTGATTTCCGCTATCAATTCTAAAAGGTAATTAATTGTCCATTGTTATCGAATATATAAATAGGAGAGGACGACGACGTGGGCTCCAGCCCGCCGCCACCGCCGCCCTGCTTCAGTCCACACCACCACCAGGACCACCACCACCACCATCATCATCACCACCACCATCAGCAGCACAGCGACCACCACCAGCACCAAGCCCTCTCTCACCAACACCCACACCACCACCACCACCCACCCCTGCAGCACCAAAACAGCATCAGCAGACCCTCACTCATGACACGTGGCATCAGCGAGTCGTCGGATGAGCGGCTTTTGATGTCTGGTCGACGCCCAGTGGCGCCCATGCAATCCTTCCGGCCGCCCCCGATGGCGCCGCCGCCGCCGCCGCAAGCAATGGGCGGGGTTTGGGAGCCCATGTCTTCCATTAGGCGGAATTATTCGTTGGGCAAGTCGCCTAGTGTGCGCAGCATGCCGAGTCCTTCCAGCAGGAATGTCCCCATGAAGGGAGGCAGTCATTACTACAACACCTTGCCTGGTGAGCAATAATGACAATAATTGAATGGAGGAGGAAATAATTAGAATATAACACTCTATAGTCACAGCAACTTGAGTATAGGGAGGAGAATAAAAACAGTAGAATCCCTTTATAATGAATTAATATCCAAGTAAGGTCTTTTTTGGGTCCTTGTTATAGACTATAATGACCAAAATATTATTTTAATTCTGTTTTGACCCTTGTGCAGCAAAGTTGGGATATTTTTGCATAATTTTGTGCCCGTGCAGGAACACTGGAAATTGAAACAATTTTATCTTTGTACTAGGACCTAAGCCAGGGAAATGTCTCATATTTTAATCCAATCCTGCAGAAATTTTTGAATGAAAAAAAAAACCCCCACTGGGTGGCATTTTTCCTGCATTCCTAGAATATAGGGTTTGAAGTGGAGAGTCTTCAAAACAATAGGAAATTTTCCTCCCAGATTTTTCCCAACTTACGCCTTCTCAACCTATAGGAGCATTTCAGTAACCTTTAATCAAACTGAATTCCACCACCACACAAAAAAATCCCAACACCACTGTGCAATGGAAATACAGCCTCCACCATCATCCAAGGGTTAACAACAAGTTTGGTTCATAATTAAGATTTTTCAAGGCCCCAAAGGCTTTGTTATAACAAGATTTTACTGTCAAATAACTGCCTTTTACTCTCTGTACAACATTGGTATTTAAATACTTCTGAGTGAGCTCCAATTTTGGGATTTAGGTACTTGAATATACTGCAGGACCTTATTGACATATGGACACCCCAACATATGGACAATTTGACTTGGGGCACGTGAAACCTTAAAAATCTACCTCAATATCCAAACAAAGTCTTGAAATGTCAACCTTTTTCTGAGATTTCCAGAAAAATGGAAATATCATTTTTAAAAGTTTCCAAAAATTGGAATACAGTATTTTTATTCAAACATTACAAATACATTTCATTATAAAATGACTCTAGATCATAATTAGGTAAATTAATTCATAAATGAAGTTGAGAAACAAATTTTAATTCAATTTTTTGGGGAGTTTATGATTCCTAATGTTTAATGAACAGGAGAACCAAAGAAATAAGTTTCCATTGAAGTCTAATGGAAATATGCACAGACACTCCAGGTGGATGGACAAAGTCAGCACACCAATTCTGTCCACCTCTTGAGGCTGCACTCTATTGTGACTATGGTAATCACTGTAATGCATGACAGAGTACTGTACTAAAGTGTTTCCTCAAGGATTGAATGTTCTTGAATGATTTTCAAAATTCACTTGCACTTCTTTGACAGGCTCATGACGACCTTCATCCATTCTCTAAATACGTTCTATATTCGTGTTTGTTTCGCAGGGAATGCAGCAGAGGGAAGCACAGGTCAGCAACCCCGTTTCCGGGCTGAAGCCGTGATTCAAATGGGTCGGTTGAACGGCAGCAATGACCCACAGCACCAACAGAGACGTCCACAGAGCTCCATGAGTCACACATCAACCAAATCCGCTCCTGATGTCGTTGTCTTGCACTGAAGACAATTAAAAGAGAGATAGAGAGAGAAAATATGTTAATTAGGCCTTTTTTTAATTGTCTCCCCAATCACCTTATCACTCCATCTGTTCTATATGCCTTGTTATGTTCTTTGTCAGATCACAATAAGTAGTGATTTGGGATCTCCTTTGAACAACTGGGGCTTGTTTTTAGAGCTTACACTGGGTGTTCAAAAAGTTACTGTGCTGGAAGAACTACACTTTCTGACAATAAACAGTTAGCCAGCTATTTTGTCCATCGCCATGCTGAGGTTGTTTCAGGGTGGGTAGATGTCGCTGGCAACCACAATGCAACTTTTACTTCATAGAAAATCATCCAAAGTTCCAAATGCTTCTCTGCATTAATTCATGTAATTATCAAAATAGTAACGGATCAGCTTTCTTCTAAAAAAAACCCCCACGAGAAAAAATTCTGCACGCATTCAGTCAAATTTTAATGAGCTGAAAAGTTATTCTGACTTCCAATTTGAATGAATGAATTCCCACTTCGCAGTAACTTTTTGGGCACCGTAAATTTTTACACTCCCCACATCAAGAAACTGCCTTTTTAAAGAATTTGCAAGAAAAAGTGCATATCCTGATGATGCCTTCAGAGCTGGGAGAATTACCAGTCAAAGTTACTCTTGTCTAAATAGGACATTGTAACATTTTCTGAATGAATTTAAAGTTGGAGGTTTTAAGACATTCCGACGTGGAGGAGTTGCACAGCAAAGAGAAGCAAAGATTTTGCCAGAGTAGCAAAGAATGGCTGAGAAGGTGCAGAAGGAATAATTATTTGACGTTACCTGTTTCTTTCTCAAGTTTATGTTTGTTGTTGATCAGTCTCTTGATGAAATTTTTTTTCGAAGGAGTCTCGAGAGAATTTTTCGTTGGATATTTTCTGCCGCAAGTGCAAAGAAAAAATGGTTGACAACATTGTTGTTCTGACCGACTTGCGTGGAGAAAGAAAAAAAACTGAGTGGGATTTTGTTGACATGATCTCTGCGTTTTTATTTATTTTATGGATTGATAAAATGTAGCAAATTTTCCAGCAGGGTCTTTTGGTTTACATTAGAGCAGTGTTGCTGAAACACATGGTTATCCATGGACTGGTGCCTGTCTGCAGAAGTTTTTGGCCAGTCTGTGATACATTTAGTTTACATATCTGGTGTTCGACCAAGTTTTTTTCAGGTATAAAACAACGTTTTATGACACAAAAAAGTATGACGCACGTTTTCAAATTTATCCACGTGGTTTCTGCAGTCATCAGCAGTGTGGCAAACTCAATAGATTTACCAAAAGTAAGCTTTCATGTGGATTTTTTTCTTTTATTTCCGAAAGCATCATGGATATCTCTGCTAATCTGTCATCTATAATGAAATCAGATCAGAAGCTTGGTGCATTAGGTCTGATGTGTTTGGCTCTGACGACTCTTCTCTGATGACCCGCAAAATTTCATGAGAAAAAATGTCAAATATATCCAGGTTTTTGTAAGCATCAGAAAATCCATTGTGTGCATGTATTTTTTAAAATCAAAATCTGATGTTCCATGGAAGCAAAAAGTGATTCATCATAGTATTTTTCAAAGTATGAAATTGTGTCACCTGAGGAAACTAGTCAGCTCAAGTTACAAACATTGAAGAAATTTTGCATTGAACATTGCCGTTACTTCATGTATTAAAAAAATAAATAATTTGCTCAAAAGCACGTTTCGCTAAAACAAATCTTGAAAGAATCACTGTTTGTTGGTTCATCCATGCATGTGGTGTAGTCCAAAAGCCCCCCTAGGTGCAAAAATTGGGGATTACAGGTATTCTTGTAACTCTTGATGGTAAGCTGCACCTTTCACCAGCAGGCCCAGAACAAGGCCAAGAACCAATATGTTTGTAAATTTGAGTATATAAAGGGATTCTTCACCTGCAGTGGTCATCAGTGATTCTTCAAATGTCAAAGCATTATAACTTGCTGACTTCTGCAAAATCTACAGTTCACCTTTTTGGTCCAATGGCCGGTGCTCTTCAGATCATCCAAAATCAGAAGGGGGTCAGAAGGCATACTATACAATGGTTATTCATAAGAAAATGACATGGAGAGCATCAGTGACAGTGAGGAAGAGGCTGCAGAAGGCAATTTTGAAGATGATTATTGAACAGTCCTTTTGAGGACTAATGAAACCAAATACTGTAGCCCTTTTCAGGGCAAGAAAAACTATTATGAAACTTGCATCCAATGAAAAAAGTGGTGGGGGGGGCTTTTGACCTAAGGGGGCTTTTGGCAGGGGGGGGGAGGCTTTCCGGGGGGCTTTCGGCAAGGGGGCTTTTGGTTGGGTACCATGCATTCAATGGTGACGTTGGGAATTCCCACGGAATACAGTTTCCCAGCACACCAATATTTTCTTGGTGTTAATTTTCAGTACACGAAATTCAATTCCATTCCATTTTTGCGTGAGTTTTTTCAGTAACATGATGATCTTTCATTTTATTTATTTTTGAACCAGAATTTCGATAGTAACTTTACATGTAAAAGAAAATCGCGTGGCCTTTTTTGTTATTGAAGACCACGTCATGAATATCTGCTGTTTGTCATAATAAAATTCCGAAACTCATTTCGATTTAAACGAAAAGAATAAGCACTATTAGAAAAATTCTGCAGCGGAAAACAATCTTCTTTTTATTTGTTCAACACTTGTCCATCTTCTCCACAAAAAAATACAAGAGGAATAAAACCCTGAAAATCCACATGTCGAAATCTGAAATTATTCGCTGTGAATATAAAAAACAGGGAAACCTCGAAGGTCACTTTCGAAAGAAGCCCAGCGAAATCAGCGTATAGAAGGAACACTAAAAAAAAACAATGCGGAATAAGGAGGCGGCCCAAATTGTGTGGGTTCTTCAAGGAGATAATCCCCCTTTTACCCATACACGTCTGGTCTAAGTAAAAAAAAGAAAAAGACTCCAAAAGGATTAAAAGAAGATGAACAAGACTTTTTGATCAGTCATGCATGTGCCTTCAAATCCCCGTCTCGGCAGAAATTTTTCGCCGAAAAAATTTGCAGAGCTTGACTGGACATGAATGGCCCAACTTAATATTGACGGGTTGCAGAATTATTCTTTTTCTTTTCATGGGACGATTTCAGAAGAAATGTGGTATTTAAACCTCGGTGAAATAATCAAAGAAGGTGTCTTCATTCATTAACCAGCGGCGAAGAAGGTTCTGTTTCTCTTAGACTTCTGTGCACATCGTGTCGAACCTTCGGTCTTCGTAAATTGAGTTCAAGTGATTTTTTAAAAAGGAATTTTCATACCTAATGTTTTGCTGATTTTCTTCCGAATAGATCATTAACTAATAGGTGAAAGCAATGCATCTGTCGACAACGTGGATCCTCCTGCTGTGCATTGTTACAACAATGTAAGTGCTGTACATCATTTATTTATTTCAAGAATATCCTTTTTTTTAAAGAAAATTTTCTCATATGATAAATAGAGAGTTCCAATTCCACACCAGGACAATTACCGACTTTCTTTTTACGTAGATAATCTCTACGTGCATTAAAATTGTAAGAGAGTTCGGATTTTTTTCAGATTTAATATTAAATTTGTCTATGCATTGCCTAAAACAAGGCCCATGATTTAATGCGTGATCGAATCGTGCTGAATTCAAGTACATTACTCCAAAATTATTAAATTCCTATTTGTAGTGAAAATATATTTTTTCCCAATATTATGCTAGAATTATTTCACTACGTGGAAAGGGGAGCAAGAAGAACATTCTACGACGAATTGTCAGACGAAGTGGATAAGCGACAAGCGGAATTGCAAAAGAAGCCGTTGCTGGAGCAGGTGCGACAGCTAGCGAGCATCGCCAAAGACGCCAGTCGAGAGTTTTTCACCATCATGCGCGATGCCGTGTGTGTCAATTTCGGCGGGTGCAAAAACGACACTGTTGAAGTGAAAAACAACAAGGACAAGACCGTCGTCGACTTGTTAGTTGATCTGGCAGCAGGAGGAAGTGTCGACGCTGCTGCTTTGCGTCGACGACGACGACGACGGGAAACTCGTCGGAGACCCAGGGGTTAGAAATATTAGAAAACGAAAAGGAGACTCTTCAAGAAAATTTCGAAGTTCAATTCCATCCTGTTATTTAAAAAAATGCATTTAAAAAATTGAAAGGATAATAAAAATATGCATATAATAATATGCTTCAACCTTTCGAGGATTTTTTACAATATTTTGGAGAACGACTAAATTTTTAATCACCCGCTTTCTCTTTGTTTTTCTCAAATACACCGGAATTTCTTGAATTTCGTAAAATGAACTTGATTAAATATGTTTTGACATTTTAGCGGTGAAAACTAATCTCATGCAGAATGTTAGTCGATGACCTGATTCAACTGAACCAATTCATTCAGCTCAAAAATTTCATTACAGTATTTGAGTCAAGACAATTCTAAAACTTTTCATTTACTTCTTTCTGGAGAATTTATGTTTTACAATATAAATTTCACTCCCGGATTGAGATAATTTGGTCACCCGGAAAAACATCAGTAAAACGAAAAAATGAGAATCGAATAAATAAATAAACGTCAAAAATTCCGGAGAATTCGATGGAAATTTTGTCACCCATAACCTGAAACTCAAAATCCTGTTGAAATACCTTTTTGTTCTTTCCTACACGAGAAAACATTGAAAAAACGTTTTTTAATTTTGAGGCGCTCTAAAAAGACGTGAAAGAAATCAAACCTATTTTCATGTCACAAAAATTCACTGGTACGTAATTATACCCTTTATACAGTACTTCGAAATTGAGTCCCCGAAAATCGTCGATCTTTCACAGGGATGTTTTCCTGGATGAGAAGTGCAGCAGACGTTGGCAACGATGATCACAATCAGATTGAAGACGATTACTCATCAGTTGACCCAGCTGTCGAGGGGTTTCTTGCTGCTGATGGTCAAGACCTTTCGGGTCCTGCTCATGCGAACCCAATCGTGCTGATCCCGGGTCCACCTGGGAAACAAGGCCCGCCGGGTCTACCCGGTGCCCCGGGTGCCCCCGGAAAAATGCCCAATTTCAAGGGTCTCAAGGCAGTCCTGAATACCCGGGTTGCGGAGTTGCTGGCATTCATGGCTGCCATCGGTGTTGGGATTCTGCTCAAGTTCCTGGGTTTGTCCTGGTTGCTGCTCGGACTCACGTTGCCGCTTAATATAAGAAACTCGAAGTCTGGGGTTTGGTGGCCCACGTCAGGGGTTCAAGGGGTGGATATTGCGGGGTACAGACGCGGGAGAGGGTTGCCAACGTCACTTTCCGGGTTGAACCACGTGATGGACGCTATTCATTTGCTGGCGGAGAAATTCGACGACCCTTGAATTGATCGATTGAAAACCTTGATTATTGAAACTGATGATGAATATATATACAGTATATGTTTTGCATTGTATTTTGCTTCATGTTCGTGATGTGACAGCTTTTGCACAGCTTTTGTGACAGTCCTGGAATGTCTATTTATAACGTCACAAAAGCGACCTCTATATTACGAATTTATACGTTTCCAGAAACAAAAGTTTTAATGACATTTGTTGCCTTTCAGATGCTGCTCTTTTTGCCTAAGACTGTATGAAAAGTGCCATTTGATCATTTCATGAGATCCGGCCAAGATGAATTCTAGTCATTAAACAGTTGATGCATTTTTCCAGGAATTTTTTGCTACTATCAGGGACCACAAGAGGTCGCCTGAATCCCCAGAGATACAACACGTCCATGCACACTAAAAAATTGAACAAGTACACTCTTTTAGACATCTGAATGACCATGAAAACTGGTCACAAAAAAACCTGACACAAACCTGACCTCCAAGAAGTCCCACATCCGCAAAGCACCAAAGAAATACTCATTTTGTCTAGCAATCTTGTTTGGAATGGACTCCGAAATTCTGTCTGTAGAAGTGAAACATTAATTTTCTGTGAAAATCAAATATCTTTGAAAATGCAACAGATTGAGGAGAC